AAAAGCAAATGAGGAAACAAATAGATAATGTCATGAGGCGTTTTGTACAAGCACCTTCCTATAGGCACTAATTCAGACTATGCAACACTCCTTCACAATCGTTTCGGATACGTTCGTAATGGCCTACGATCCGTCGAGGAATGAGTTTGAACCGTATACCATGTTTCCCTGGGAAAATCTTCTGAGACGTCGGGGTAGAAGGCTCTTCTGAGATTTTGTAATAGAATGGAACGCGCTCTTCATTTCCAGCTTGGCTCTTTCGGTTTGGACGCAGTGAACTGTATTTAATTCCGCTTTAAAGGAATCCTTCACGGAAAAATCATGATTCTATTTCAGCCATAAATCACTGGCTTGAGACTCATTATCCACGATAAGAATGAAAAGAACAGAAATATTGCTTTTGTTTTGGTAAAAAATTCGAAAAATCGAAAGGGCTGCTACGCGTTCAAAGTGCCCACGGACGTCTTTCACAAATGCTGGCGACGGGGATGCTTCCACTTGGTTCTTGGAGTGCCTTCACTAGAAACTCTTTCTGGCCTTCTGCTTTATTGCATTCACATCTTACACTTCTACTCCATCCTATTCTATCGATCGATTTGTCTCTACTCTCGAAATCGCGCGCTTTAACCCGATTCTTTCATTGCGTCGCCTGATACGTAGCCGGCCAAAGGCCAACTTCTTTCCATGCCTCGCCTTTGGCTCCGCCCGAATTACCTTCGATTGTCCATAGAGTGTAGTTTTTGTACGTTTGTTTCTCTTCGGAAACCGAATCTTCATGCGTGAAACTTTGTGTGCTGTTTCCAGTGATCACAACTGACACATTCATGTTCAAGAAAGAATGCAAGAATTTTCCGCGAAGGATTCCTTTAAGTGTGAAGATTAGGTGACTCTTTTTTTGCCCCTCCCCCTGTAGAAACAGCAATGATATTGTAAGGGGTGGTGGTAGGGGGAGGGGAAGGAATAGACTCGAACAAGGATCCCTCAAGGTTGATGGTGTTGGAGGTGGTATCTCTTTAAGGAGGATCGTCAAATTTGGAATTGGAACAACGGACGGTTGACCCTGACTCTATGTGATGCACGCTCAGATGCACCCAACTTGCATGAAATAATTTTTCCATTCTGTAGAGACTTTGCGAAAGCAAACAAGACCACACTTTGTGCTAACGCCAGAGGCCATGAGTATGATGGTGTTTTGTCCAAGTACTATTATATTTAGGGCCTTATTATGCTGGTACTCCTAACACTTTTGAGCTGACACAACCTAATGCCGAGTGTCAATCGGTGCTGTTCGTCAACATACATGCTAATTCACCTTACACACGCACACTGCGAATGTCCACTAATCTAATATACTAATAATGTGCGACACGCGATAACTAGCCAACGCTCTAAAAATATTTGTGCAATCCCCCCCCCCCCCCCCCCTTAAAAATATTTGTGCAATCATTTATTCGCAATGAGCGTTCCACGCGTCGACAACACGAGTTTTTTTGAATTCTGCTTTTACCTAGCCAAGTGCAAGTACCTCCACTTTTACGTATTAGCAACACCTTCACAGCAAACATTATGGAAATCAGTAACATATGACAAGTTTGACTTAAAGCCCACTTGTTCGCATCTGTTGTTCCTAACTCATTGGCTATATCAAATTTACCTCATTTCTTCTTTTTTCCTGTTTTAGTAGTTTCACTGATTGAGAAAGTCAGGACGCACAGATTCTTTTTTCCAAAATGAGTCACAATTTCGACGTTCACTGCGCTATTTTTGATATCAGAATGCGTGCAGGCTTTCGGTGTAATAATCGAGTGAATGAACCAAATAGGAATTATTTATCAGAGTGATGAATTGGCTTAGACGTTTGCAATCCATTCCAAACCGTTTTACTCGAGCGCCGCAATTTCAGTCAGCGCTGTAGGCACGGGTACAGAAGATCCTTTACCTCAATTAGCATGCAGTACGGAACTGCCCTAGGGCAGCCCTCCGAAATTCTCGCAGCGTTGGCAGGCCGCGGCGCGCGCCTCACGTTGAGGAGCGCCACACCTGCGGCCGCTCTCTCCCACGGCTGAATCGTCGCACTGTCATACTCCACTTTCTATCGTCGTGGCTCTCGTCGTAGTGTGCAGAAAAAATGACAAGTGTGCACATTGAAAACAAGACGATAACATGTGACTATGCGCGCTCACTGCGAATCTGGTTACGGTGGACAATGCACACGCTTATGAATCCTATAAATGAGTAAGTTGCCACATGCAGGGTCCTCACGACCAAAGTTCGCCCAACAAAACACACCTCAATGTTCAGTAGAGACCACGAATTTTTTGGATAGTAAAAAAGAATGTTGACAGGGACATGCTAATATCTCGGAGTACCAGTACTCCAAAAAGAAATCAGTTCCGCTTTCGTTTTGAACCTTCAATGCCGGTTCCATATATGGCGGAACTATAAGTCACTCCGTGTTTCGCTGATTCTGTGAAGGATTTAAGCAGCATCTCTTTCTGAACTAAGCTTGACTCATGCAGCATCAGTAATCTTCCTTGGTTGCGTGCTGGCCCATACTGGCTACATACAACACACACGCAAGTCTCACACATCAAAATGTGCGGGAGATTAGGGGCTTTCAAATGACAACAAAATATAAAACTTAAAGCCACGAGTCGGGATTAGGTCCAAGAGCCAGTCCCTTCTAGAGTGAGAAAGAGGGTCCCCAAGGGCAGGAGGCACGACACTGTCGCGACTCAAAAGTGCGAGGCAACGGCGCTAAGGCCTTGCCTTGTGTGCTGCCGTGCTGCCATCCTTATCAACCACGGCATACGTGGTCTCTGCGCCCTCTCGCGTACGACGTACTATCCTTTTTAATTATTACCTCGCGCTTTCCCTCTCCTCGCAGGACTCTCTCTCCGACATGCCACGGTCATAAAGGAAATTTGGTTATGATGCTTTTTCCTTTTTCTCCCCACAAATATTCCTCATTGCACTCCTTGCCTAATTTTCAAACAAAATAACGCATCAATTCATCCCCGACCTGTGCCATTCAATCCTTTCAATCAACAAAAAGCCATTCACCTGAAAAACAAACTCGGCTATTCGGGTGGAATTCTGGGTGAACTCAATAAATGAACATAAATTGAGACAGCTTCTGATGTACGCGTGGTAATGCATTGCATGGTTTAGAATAGCGATACTCAATTTTGCTCGCCTTCTGGTTCTTAGGGCAAAAATGACACAACTATGACTGATGTTGGATCGTAATGAATCCTTTTTTTTTTTGAAAAATGACTGAATCGATTCCTAGATGACTACATAAAATATTATACTGCAAAAGCAAAGGCAAAAATTGCATGATAGACAAGATAACGCATGGTTGTAAAGTAACATACCTGTAGCCTTTTTGCATGACCAATCTTCAGCACTCCTAGGTCCTTCATATCCGTTCGCTCCAAGTGAATCAGTTCATGCCCGCGAATGTCGTTTGCTTTGAATTGACTGGCGTAATGTGACAGACCGAGTGAGTTCAGCCACAAGGATACGTCATCCACCGACCATGTGGTTACTGTATAATTAGGTTTTAGGTCAAAGCATCAAAGTCTTATCAAAAAGATGAGAACAGCACTCACCATGCGTTGACGGTGCACCTGACCGTCGTTTCCATTTTCGGGTGATCCAGTCAGTAAAACGACTTCTCTTCCGTTGTCCTGTCTCAACTGTTCGGAGTTCCTTCAGCGCTCCCTCTTCTCGACTGATCTCTTGGCGTATGCTGCACAGCACATA